ATCACTCAGCACTCAGCACTCAGCAGGACGAGTGATAGGCAGCCCCTCCTCAATATTAATAGGAACCATTTATACAAAAAAATAAAAATAGGAACCACCGACCGTTGAGGGGCAGCAAAGGCGTCTGACACTGGTATCTGTTCACCAGTGTTAGTAGTAGCAATTCAGCAAGCACTATGAGTGCCATGCCCCAAGAAATCGGAAACAAACAAAAACAATAACCAGCAAAACCAGACATATGTTGAAAAAGTCATCCAACTCACTGATTTTGCAAAGCACATCGTCATGTATGGATACAGAACAGCAGCCATGACAAAACCAATAATGATGGGATGCTTGTGCTAAAGATCCTTACCACAATCAGACATTGTAACGCCCCGTTCTAGAACCGGATTGTTATCATTGCGTACGGCATTAAGCGCAGTTACAATCACATTGGTTCAATTAGAAAACCGGATAAATTTTTCCTTTTTAAACAAGCCGGATTTAAATAACCAAGTGCGTGATCATAACTATATATACTTCGCGGAATAGTGGGACTAAACTTAATATTATATTCTCATTCTACTTGACAATACGTCGTTAAATGTCTTCATCACTTTAATTATCAAACTAATTCTGAACTCCTTTTATGATTCCCATCTTCTACTATGTTATAGGAATTTTCATTAGCTACGCGTGGGTTTAAACCGCGCTCAAATCGGAGCACCGTAGCCAAAGTTATGCATTTTCTAAGAAAAGGGTGCGAAATCTCCAGAACCCCGCGCCCGTAGCGTGAGATCCACGCCCAGAGCGTGGGAAAACAGAAAGTTGGCGCCCCCAGCGTGGGAGTGGCGCCCTTAGCGTGGATGCTACTGTCTGATCCCGTAATTTGGCGCCCCAAGCGTGAATCTGGCGCCCCAAGCGCCATCCACAGGGCTGGGTGACCCAAAACAAGGTCATTTAACCTACCTATGGTTTTCCACTCATAACTTGAGCTATACTCACTCAAATTACACCATTTTGGTCTCTATGGAAAGCTAAGAGAAATTTCTACAACTTCTATAGAGACATCAAAGTCCAATTCCATCACATTGGGTATGAAAATTGGTCAATCGGACAGGATGTATTTGTTTTCTCAACATTTCCCAATTTAAACAAAAGGTACCTAATTGATTCTCAGCCCAACCAATTCAATAACTCAATACATAACAAGCATGCATATATTGAATTTCAAGTAGGCATCATTTACAGTACATATACATTACGAATCATGGAACTTAGCTTACAAAACACTATGATCATTCTCTTGGCTCCCATCAACAAAAGAGATGACCAAAGGCATAAGCATAGGCTAAGTTCATTCCGATATACCAATCATCAATCTATCATTGCCTATTAATTACAATTATATACATGTGAGCTACAAAACAACATGTATAATCTCAAAAATGCAACACTTCATGCATATGCTAATCCAGATATGGCCACTTGCCACCAGAGGCTCCTGCAGCATCCTTACCTGAAAGGGGGTCCCCACAACACGGGGTGAGATATACGAATATATCCAGTAAACCAGGGGTCCTTGGAGCATCTCTCCACCCCACAGTTCCATATCAGTGTAATAGCAATAACAATAATAATGCAGTAAATACATATCTATGCAAAGTGCAATAACATCTCCAGGAGAAATCCCTCGAGCTCTCAAGCTGTCCTAAGGAAACTCAGATGCAAATAGTCCTACTCGCCAGCTAACTACCAAGTATGATTTACGCATCGTCATGCCACATACCAACATAGGGAAACACCATCCTATGCCACACCAAATGCATACACATACGTATAACAAAGCATTACACTATTTTATTGCATTTATATACACTATAATCACCACTACCCTTTCAGGGCTTGTGGAACAATCAAGGGAATTACACTCAAGGTCCGAAGGCTTACCTCAATGCTTCAGTCAACCTTTGTTCACCACCAACAGGTTCCACAGTCAGTCAATTACAATACTTCACTTCTTAAACAAAACCTACACAAGGTTTAATGCAATCAACACATATTGCATCCAATAACATCTCATAGCTATCAACCAAGCTATACAATTCATACCAAACATAAGCATGAACTCACCTATCCAATGGAGCTAATCAAGCTCCATAGCTTGCTCCAATGGTTGATCACTCACGGTTGGTCCAAATGCCTCAATCCTAGACAACACCAAGGCATAATCAACAACCAACCAAACCAAACCATTTATTAACAATGCAAGAAATCCAATATCAAGCATCATATTCTTGCCATTTTACAAATATACTCATTTAGCTATCTAAACTCATTTTCACCGATTAAACGCAGTTCCTAGCATTTTTCACAACATGCTCTAAGTTCCATTCTTCCTAGAACATAGCTAACTTAACAACATTCCATCAAAACCCTAAAACACTATTCATAAACCCTAACTCATGCAATCTCAAGGAATCATGAGGTTCAAGGGTTAGAATCTTACCACCAATGGTTGCACAACCAAGCAAGGAGCGTTCCTCAAGCTCCCATGGAGGTAGAAATTCCCAAAACTCCAAAATCTCACAAAGGGCCGAATTTTTGAGAGCCAATATCCCTCTCCACAATGCTCCCCACTCAAAACTAAGCTTGGATTATGAAATAGGGGAAGATTTAGAGTGGTTTAGGCTTTTGAATCACTCCAATCGGTTGGGATTTGCTCCCCCTAGGTTCTCTCTCCCTCTTCTCCTTCATTTCTCTCTTCTTCCTCTCTTCTTTCCCTCTGTTTCTGTCGACGGGTTTCCGGGGGGAAATGGGTTTTCTTTAGTTACTTTATCACTTAACATAGGTTAAGTAGTAACATGTGGGTATTAGTTCATCTATCTATTCAACTCCATTAATTACCAAACTTTACCCAAAAGTCTGGAATATTATTCTAGGAATATTTATATTTTTATCTTTATATTTTGGGTACTTTTGCCTACACCCATTTATACCCCTTAATTTTCACTGAGTACACTTTTTAACTCCAAAGTGACTCAGATTCATTTCATTAAGCCTTATACTTAATTTTACTCACTAAAACATGCTTAATTATTTAATTACATGTAATTTGCTAATTAATTAGGTTAGGACTATTATAGACATGATCCAAAACAAGAAGGTGAAACACGAGCCCAAACATCTGTGCTATGCTATTGCCAATTTCCCCAATTGATCTCCTGAAATCGTTCGAAAAAATGTAAGCATGAGAGAAATTTAAAAAAAAGAGTACTTTTACAAACAGAGAAACTGAATGTAGCATAAAAACAAAGACCGATTGCATTCATTTCATCTGTCGTTTTGATGAAAAATAAAGATCTTGATAGATATAAAAAAAACTAATGAATTTAAAATTGTTTCTTTGGCCAAATTCTCGATTAGAAGATTTAGCTTGTATAAATTGCTATTGGTTTGATACGCATAATGGAAGTCGTTTCAGTATAATAAGGATATGTATGTATCCATGATTTAAAATTTGGAAATCTATTACATTTTCTGTTATTTACCGTAACATATATAACATATATGATTATGATATATGAACAAAAATGAATACCTACATAAATGCGCGCGCATTATTTCTATTCTCAAGCATTGATCCTAATTCAATACTATATCCATTCGATCAAAAATGAATCAACAAAATCGTCTTTTTTTTTAGCATCTAATTTTTGATTTTATGAATCTATATAAATATAATTTTTATATCTATTTGTATTGATTTCCTATTATATAGGAAGTTTACAAATGATAACAAGCTCCCGTAAAATGCGCAAGAGGAAAAACAGAAATGACCAAAACAAAAAATCAGTAACAAACAGTAACAGAGAAGATAAATGGAAAAAGAAAAAAAAATTCTATCTTTAATACCCCTCAAGACGGAGAGTGGATATTTGTGACACCCGTCTTGGAAAGCAAAAAGTTGAACTGTGTGGGATGCAAGGCCTTGGTGAGTAAATCTACAAGTTGGTTGGAGGAATCTACAGGAAAAGTTTGCAATGATCCTTTTGAAATGTGTTCCCTAATTAAGTGACAGTCGATTTCAATATGTTTCGTACGCTCATGAAATACTGGGTTTGCAGCAATGTGTAGTGATACCAATATAGGTTGTACAATTGTGAAAAAAATGTGTATAATGATTTGTTTGAATATATTGTTGAGCTTTTCATATATCAAAGTTTGAATAAAATGGTAATTTAAAAATAAAAAAGGGCCATTATCAAAAAAAATTGTTATACTCAAATTACACCCTCTTAAGTATAAAAGCCACATTAACATTTAAACAAAAAAATTCTTCATTTTTTTAAGAAAATAAAAGAAATAAAATATTCATGCTTTGATAATACAAATAAGCACTTTAGATAAGCCCAATATATAAATTTATTAGCTTTGACGAAACTTATCTCATAAACTCTTTCCACACGTATTTATACCCATTTTAATTCCTTTGTTTGAATAGCTTATCATTAACTAAACTTTTAAAAAAGTCATTACCACATTGTTGGGGAAGCAAAGCAGTACCATTAACTAGTTGGGGTTAACAACAAGACACAAAAGCACAATACTTCTAATTGAGTTATATGCATGGTTAATGAGAACCTCCAAATCATGATATATGCAAAAATATGCCTACCATTTATTTCCGGTCTCCTTCCATGAAAATATACAAGAATCAATCAATATGAGAGACATTAACTCCCTCCTTACTTTTTCACCTTCATCTACTTGACTATACACAAGATTAACCAAAATGGCAGCAGAGATATCAACCATGTTCATGAACTAGACTTTAGCCTTGCCTAGAAAAGAAGCTAAAAAAATCTTAAACAAACAGGAAATGACAATATCCACCTATAAATTATTGGAAATTTAGATACGTAAATTAAATCTCAAATATTTATTAATTGTTAGTTATCTATCCAAATGAACTCCAAACATAATTATTTAACAAGTCACCTCAAGAACCATTATTCTAGGAAAAACAAAAAACCAGGATTGGGCAACAACACCCAATAATAGAAGAAATATAGAGCTTTAGTTTCACCTCTAAGAAAATGACATAGCATTAAAACCAGACAGCCACTAACTAGAGGCCAGTTTTGCTGGGATTTATAAGAGCTGCAGTGTATACATTTTAATTATTCTTATTACATTTGAGATTTGCCATTAACCATCTTAATTCACAATGTACTATTGCTATGTCAAAGCTTGCTACATGGAAAACCAAAGCAATCGCCAAGGACTTGGGATAAATCTACATTTGGAAAGTGGTGGTGGCTACTAAGAATGTAGGTCCAAGCTTCATGAAGAAACTCCATATGGAAGAAGAGCAGCAGCCACAACACGACCTTCTTCATTCAGTATGTTGAAAGTTGATGATGCATTTCTCTGGTAATAACAAATAAATCATGAAAATATTCAAAATTCAAAGAGAAGCAGTCAAACTGGTAGTGGTCATTTTGGTTGGCTTGTTCCTTATACCATTTAGAATTATTTTATGAGAACTATGCTATAGATCAATTTTAGGCTACCATTAACATATATTAAAATCGTTGTTCAATAATTAAACACCATTGCAAATTATCTATAACCACTAAACATTAAATGGTTCAAGCAAAATGGAAATTCCACAAGATTCTCTCCATTTAAAGTCCTACCCAGGACAATACCACAAATGACTTTGCAAACATATATTTCCAAGGATTTAATATTGATCCACAGTTCAGTATAAGACTTTTTAACACTATCATCCAATTATTTGTTGCCACATCATTAGAAGAGTTCAACGTATAGTTCTTTGCGTAGTTAAATTCTTTCAATGATGTGATAACATATGATTGAATGATAATATAAAATAGTTTCACTGATAGTATATCAAAATTACACACTTTCCTAATCATTTGTGCTATCATGCTTGAATTCTCTCATCAGCCATTTTGTACTTTGATTCTCTCACTATCTGACATCACATTTTCAAACCAAATTTTAGACAAAGTTTGTCAGGTATTATCTTAATGCGATCCCATAAAAATCTTCCCCGAGGGGAAAAAAAAGATTTATAAAACTTTTGGGATTTAGGGTAGAAAAGATGGGACTCAGGCACCCTCTATCTTGTTCTAGTCCCTAGCTTTCAAAATCTTCTAAACAAGGTTAATAGTTCCCATTTCCTCAGTGTACTTGTGTCCTAAGGATCCATCTGCTTGTTTAATTTAGATTACTTTATTAAACATAATAATGAATACTAACAAAGTCATGCACAAATCTCATATATCAAAGCAATCGTCTATACCGAGTCAACAGCTTCTAACTTCATGCCAGCAGACCGAATAAACCGTCTAATTTCAGGATCTACAGGTTGAATGTTCCTTCCACAGCCAAGAATCAAAATCTCTGAGAAATAATTCTTCCAAGTGTCAGCTACTATGGGTCAATTTGATAGGTGATCATAGCATCGATTTAGTAATATAACAACAAACAGTTTCTTGTAATTAGTTCAAAGTGATTAGTGATTACCTAAAAGACACAATAAATCCAAAGAGAGAGAACAGTAGAAAAGAAAATTATATAAATTCAAGAAAAAGTGAAATGCCATTACTTCGATTAATTTGCATTAATTGTGACAGTGGGATACCTATCAGCTTTAAGGTCCCATCTAAACACTAAGAAACTAAAAGTGCATGTATAGGGACCATCAGTCTTCAATATAGCAACCACTTGCCCAGTGAATTAAAAAGCAAACCATGAATTCAGTAATTTTTCATCTATAGAATTACACATTACGAAGCATCCCTAAAAATTACCCAAATAGGAAATCTATGAGGAAAAATAAAATTGAATAAGAAAAAAAGGGAAAACCACAAAGTCAAGTAAAAAAAAGAATGGCAAAACTAAAAAACCCAACCTGGAATTGGACGAACAATTTGGAAGAACGATAAGCTGCAACAAGGAAAAATATGACAACAAATAAGATAGTCATGCAAGACAAATAATAGATATTCCCCTAATAGAGCAGATATGGAACTGGAATGTTATAATGCATTCACTTCTTGCTGTTTTTGCCTGTCACATAACTATCACAATGATGTTCACATCCTTTTTATCAGAGGGGATAATTAGTCAGATAAGTCATTGCCATTTAGCAGAAGTTATCATCCATTTCTCATATTCTCCAATCTAATGAGATACAAAATAAAGAAGGATAATGAACGCATTATAAGTACTCTCCACAAAGGAATTTAACACAAAATTTAAAACAGGATGTAGTAGTCAAAGATTAAAGAAAACAATAGGTCCTACGAATATTTATTTTAGTAAATAGAATTTTTTAGGGAAAAGCAATTAAAATTAGGGGGTATCCTCCAAAACAAAGTAAATTGGAGAAAATAAAGAACGACAAGAATCAGAAATTGTGCATGCCACCATCATTTTACTGCCCAGTTATTCACGTGCCTGAACATGAGAGAGCATTTCATTTCACTAGGGGTTGAATAGATTTTGACAGAAGTGCTTATCTGCCAAGCTCTTCGCTCATTTCTGGTTTGGGTAGTTGCATCACAATTCTCAAGCTAACCTATGTGGTTGCTAATTTTCTCCTAGGTGAGGGCGAACCGGAGCAGTGGTAAAGCTGTTCCTTTGTGACTGAAAGATCACAGGTTCGAATTCGGGAAACAACCTCTTTGCAATTATTTGTAAAGGTAAAGTTGCGTACAAGGATTTCCCTCACCCCACACTCACTAGTCGGGTTTAAATGGAGAGTGGTTTGGTTTGCTTGGTTCTGTTCAGATATGAAAGTTGTTTTCTGCCTCATTTATTTGTGTTCCACATAATTTGATATCTTTTGGCTGATTGCTATATTGGTGGTTTTCTTGCATACAGAAGTGTTGCACAGTTCTTCCTTTGATTGGGAGTGGTGTTCTGGGTGAAGCTCGCATTACTTTCCTCTAAGGTGTATCAACTAGCAAGGTCAAAGGCTTTTGGGAGCTATCTTCCGAATACACAACATTGACTTTGTGTCAATAAAAAAGTGCTAGTGGCCTAAATCCTAGATGGGTTGATTTTGGGTTATATTTTTGTTTTTCAATATTTTACGTTGAGAGAGAAAATTAAGAATGTGTGAAAATACTCAGGAAGGTCTTATTATGGTTGGGTTAATATTAGTTAAAAAAAAATATATATTATATGTCTTCAAGCTTCAAAGGCATCTTTTCATTTACAGAATTTGGATTTGCATTACCATGGTGGAACAGACTACCGCTCCTTTCTTTCTTCAACTTTAGATATAAAGCCGCAGGACGAAAAAAGTACACAAAAAGGATAAAATTACCAAAGTTTCATGATAGAAAACTTGAAAAGTTAATGCACTTAAGGAACAGGATAATACAAAAATGCTTATTAAAAGAAAACCAAGACTACTAAAGGATAGGGAGGAGAAACAAGGGACATAGAACAAACAAACCTATCAGCAGATATCTCTGAGAACTTCTTTGGTTTCCAAGACAAGAGCAAATTTCCAACACAAAGCAAGCTTCCTTCATATTCAACCCCATTTACAGTAAACCCTGTATCATTATACCTAAAAAATTGGGGAAAGAAAAAGGAAATTACAACCATGTCAAGTCCTTGCAGCAATTAACTGCTATAATACAATGCTAGCTAAAAGTATTCACATTCAACTCTCTTCCTTGAACCCCATATTAAAACTAAATTTAAAACACCCCATTTTGCAGAATGAAAAGAAAAATCCAAAAAAAGGCAGAAAGAAACAAAGACATTGCAACTATGTTAAGTCCCTGCATCAAACATTTGCCATGACACGATGTTATCCAAGACTTATCTAGAAAACCCATTTCACATTCAACTTTCTACTTTGAATCTCCATAATTAAAAAAACTTAAAGCACCCCATTTTCACATTCAACTCTCTTCCTTGAACCCCATATTAAAACTGACTTAAAAAACAAATTTTAAAACACCCCATTTTGCATAATGAGAAGAAAAATCCAAAAAAAGGCAGAAAGGAACAAAGAAATTGCTATAACATGATGTTATCCAAAAGACTATTCTAAAAAACCCATTTTCCCATTCAACTTTCTACCCTGAATCCCCACAATTAAAAAAATAATAAATTAATTAAAGCACCCCATTTTCGAGAATGAAAAAGAAAAAAAAGAGAAAAAAAAGAGGGTACCCTTGAAATCGAAGCTGTTCGTCAGGGACTTGGTCAATGAGGTTGATCTGATCGTACAAAGAGAAAGCGCGTCGAAGAGAGGGCAATGCATGGACATGGTTGTTGGGTTTCAATGGCTCCTTCCGCAAACTGCGTATCAGATTCGGAAGCGCAGTTACTGCTCTTTGCCTCACCGCCATCTTTCTCCTTTCTCCTTTCTCCTTCCTCCTTCCTCCTCTCACTCAGTTCCCAACACCCATTATCAATGTCTTGAGTAAATTTTTAATCCTCCTTTCATAAAAAAATTAAAAATATCTGAAATTATCTGACGTTAAAAAATAGAGAAAGAATTTATTTATAAAAAAAATATTTGTCGTTTTAAACGAGAGTAAATTATTTTTATTTACAGTTACATTTTAATCGTTGTTTTCTAATTTAATAATTATAATTTATTTAAAATTAATAATTAATTAATAAATATAATTTAATAAATTATAATTATTAAATTAATGGTAATCAATAATTAAAATATAGTTGTAAGAAATTAAAAATAAAAATAGATTATAAGTAAAGAAAAAAGTATATAATGTTATTTTAAACAATTTTATCTAATGTGTATCGAAACCATGTTATTTTGAGTTGAAAAATTAAAAAATTAAAATAATAATAATTTCTGCTCCAAAATAATATCATTTATGTTAACATTAGACAATTTTTTTTTTTATACAAAAGTAAATATTAAACACACAACTTAATAAAAGCTATCCAAATTCCTCACGAGACGAATTGTAATAGTTTTAGACAAAATTTTCCAAACCCTTATAAATATAACCTCCCTTGAAGAGTAAAGACAATTAATTAAAATATTTCTGATTGAAAAAATAAATAAAGTTAATGTTATGTAATATTTTATCTTTTTCATTTTGTAAATTTTGTCATTAAAAAATCATGACAATTGATACTATTGAATGACCGATAATGATATTTATTTATGAAAAAAAAATTAATTCGAATGGCATCAATCATAAAGACAACAGTTAAATAGAAATAGATAAATGAATTGCTTTTCTCCTATTTTAATGAATAACGTACTAATAAGATTAGATTGTGAATTTAGAGTGAAAATCGTTTGAGAATAAATCTGACTATTTGACCATTTTGCCTCTCATTAATTAATTAATAATTATTTTGCTCCTGATTCGAAACTATCTATCAATATGCCCTTCTTTAATCGACTACTTTGCATGTTTAATCGACTAAATGGTTGTTGGGAGATTTAATCGACTAAATCTCCCTACTTAATCGATTAAAATCATACTGACTTATTTTTTTTTGTCAAATATAGAGATTTAGTCGACTAAATAGGGAGATTTAGTCGACTAAATCTCCCAACAGCCATTTTTTGTATATTTTGGCCATTTAGTCGATTAAAAATGCAAGGTAGTCGATTAAAGAGGGGCAGATTGATAGATAGTTTCAAATTAGGAGCAAAATAGTTATTAATTAATTAATAAGGGGCAAAAGGGTGAAAAAGCCAATAAATCTTCTCATATCTTATTTTAATATTATCATAGTATAACGTCGAAGTTTACCGTGATTCCATTTATAGATTAATTATTATAATTCTAATGAAAATTATTTGTAAAATAAGAAAGTAAGAATTATCGCTTTTATTACTAACTATTAATTTGTAAATAAATAATTGAAATTTTTTCCTGACATAATAATATTTAGATAGAAACAATCATTTCTGAATCATTTAATAAATAAATTAATATTTATGCTTTTAAAAGACATAAAATTATGTTATTTAATAAAAATTATTGTGTTTTATGGCAAAAGTCTATAATATACCAATACATCAAAAAATCTGATGTGTCATGTCTGAAACTTTCGACACTCTCCGACACTAACACGCATTGCATAAACTAAAAAAAGGTTCAAAGATTGCGATGTGTTGCGTTTTTAGTTCCAACTATTAGATTCGTTTGATTACGGTTATCATTTTATTGAGTTTAATATAAATATTTATTGTTCTGGATGAACATCAATATTGGTTTGTTCTAATTGTGAGTGTCCTTCTTGGGATGTTAACCCCTATATTTATACTCCTAGTTAGAATAGTTGCACTGGACGTGGAGAGAAGGTGGTTACCTTGGACGTGGATGAGTAGTTATCTGGGACGTGCCATCATGGCAAGACCCACCTCCTGGACTAATAAAGGAGACAACTGCCCCATAACCCAGGTATCGTTATCCCGGGTTCTTCCAACCCGTACTAGAGTAACTAACCCGGAACATTAAGCCCCCAAGCTCGGAGTTTAATAATTATTTACTCCGAGTTTATTTTCTGATTTATCTCTTCTTATTCTTCTTTTCCTTATCCCAATGCACACATTAAATACCTTCTGTCTGTTCAGTTTTTACCTGCCACTTGTCACCCTTTGAGTACCTTGAGTGTTGAAATGTCTTGACATTTGAAACGACTCCTCCTAACATCATCATTGCTTCCCAATTTCGAAACGTCAATCATCATTTCTTTTCCTTTTTATTACCATCTGCCTTTTCCATTTTTTCGGTTTCACTCATCCTCCTACCTTCTTCTTCTTTCTTTGTTTTCTTCTTCTTTCCTTTCTGGTTCTACTTTCGTTGCTATTCTGGTTGTCTTCTTCACGTAGGCATTGCTGTGACTTTTCTACTGCTGATTTTAAGCCCTCAGTTCTTCATACAAGTAAGTTCTCTTGTTTCTTGCTTCACCTTCTTATGTTTTGCCTAATGTATAAAAAATGTTTGCTTATACTGCCATCGCTCACCTTGACGAATTGTACCCATTACTTGTTTATTTGTTCTTTATGTTCTTCTTCTTCTTCCTAATTTCTTTACCTCAATACCTTTGTCTTCTTGAATATTCTGGTACCAGCTTGTTAATCTCTGGACAGATCAAGGATCTAACTTGTAAACAACACATTCTATGTTAGTCATTTAAACTTATCATATATCTTCTAAAAGTTTATTGATACCGTTTCGTCCAGGCGATGCCGAGGAATCGTCCGTACCGTTCACTCCCCCTTTCTCGCTTCACACTACCCTCTAGTGTAGAAGGTTTAGAATGGGTTGATGAAGAAGCTCTAGGGCTTCGTTCCTCTTATGAAAATCAGTCGAGTACCCTCCACACTGCTTTACAATCAGTGCCACTATTTCGTGACTCAATAATCACTTCTTTCCGCGTTTCTGTACCTGGAGAAGAAGAACGCATCTGCTCGCCTTCTGGGCAAGGTGAGAGCTCTTTCTTTTTTACCTACAAGTGCTTGTTTTTCGAGCTCAAAATTACTTTACCCTTTACCGAGTTCCAAGTAGATGTCTTGAACCACCTCGAAGTCGCTCCTTCTCAACTACACCCCAACAGTTGGTGTTTTTTGCATACGTTTGAGATAATCTGTCAATCATTTGGATTTGCGTACTCTTTTCGAGTTTTCTTCTGTCTATTTGTTGTGTTCCGAAACGCCATTGACAAAGGATGTCCTCGTCATAGTTGGATTTCATTGAAAGCCCGTCCCGGGCTACGTTGGTGTAGTATGTATGAAGATAACTGGAAGAATTTCAAAGAAGAATATTTCAAAATTTGTATACCTGAAGCTCTTCCTGCTACACCTTCTGCCTTCTCTTCTTCCTCACAACCTGCTCCCCCTTCTGCCTTCTTCCTGAATCAGGACGGAACTCCCCAATTTCCTCTTAGTTAGAACAGTCATCATTACACCACTTCTGCTAGAGCATTTTTAACTAACTCAAAAAATTTGAATACTGATGAAAATGAAACTTATACCTGGTTCAAGCAGCTCGCTTCCGAGTTATGTAAGGAAAATATTTCTCTCACTCCTCGGTCTATCCTAACTAACAAAGATTCTCCTGACTGGGTTTGCCGAAAATTAAGTAAGTACTTATAAAATTCTTTTATGTTTTTCTATATGTTCCTCTTTTAACCTTATTTTTGTTTTTACTATTGTATGTTTTACAGACAAGTGCATGGATCTCACCTTTTTTGCTCGCCAAAAACAAAAAGCCGCCCAAAAGGAAGATTCCTCTGTCTCTGGCGACAAGGACAAACGTCATGTGTAAGAAACCGCACCATTAATTACGGTATTTAATTAATTAATTATGCAAAATTAGGAAATGATTCCATAATTGACCCTAATAATTATTAAGAGGCTTTAATAATTATGGTAAGTGATTAAGAATGCTGAAAGTCGTTTTTCGGAAGAAAAGTGCAGATACCGATTCTGCTAGTCGGTATAAATGCATACCGAAAAAGTATCCCAGAAAATTAAGTTAAGTGCATGATAATTACTAGAATAATATGTAAGACTTGTAAAACGAGTTTTAAGTCCAAATAATGAGAACTGGTGCTAGAAACCGGTACTGGCTTTGAAAAGCGCGTACCGGAAAGGTGCTCAGAAAAATATAATAAAAATATGTTAATTCTTAGAAAATTATGTAGTTTCATAATCCAAAGTTTGGGATTAAAATGCTAAGCGTAGCAATTAAAGTTAATAATGTGTGTTAATGATTGTGTGGCCTATATATACTCTTATTATGGGCACAAAACCCTAGACTCCTTTCTTTCCTACGTGAGTGGGCTGATCAGTTTGTGAGTGAGCACTGTTCCATTGCTTTCTTCTCTAGTTCTTGACCAAAACTCAACCTTGAACCCATTTTCTTGGTTGTTTCATCATCCTAAACACTTGGTGTGAGTGAGAGGCATCATTGTGGGTGAGTGAGGGTGTTCTTCAGTGGTATTCCACCTGCTGTGTGTGAGGTTTTGAGGCTGACTTTGGTTAGTTTGCTTGTGAGAGCTTGGAGTTGGTACTTTGAGCTTCAATGTGTCATCTTTGGGAAGAAAGGACCAACCTTTGTGAAGCCATTTTCATGCATCTACCTTGAGTCAGACTTGAGGGGCTGTGTTGAGCTCCAAGAGCATCTCCATTCTGAGTTTTGAGCCTTGGTATGTTGTACCAACCTTTAACTTGAGTTTTAAGGCTTAAAAATGATACCTTGATGCATCTAATGACTAAAAGATGATAACTTGTTGTTGGGTAATGTTGAACACGCCTAGAAATGCATGATTAGGTGTTTAAAATCAGTAAAAAGGGAACCTTTAAGGGATATCTTCACGAAAACGAAGAAATTGCATTCTGTCGTGAAATATCCGGATATCTGCCCGTGGAATATCCGGATATTGGATATCCGGATATGTGATATCCGGA